TCAACCTAGAATTTCATACCCACCCAAACTAAGCTTCATAAGTGAAGGAGAAATAAAATTCTTTAAGAACAAGCAATAGATGAGAGATTTTATCACCACAAGGCCTGCCTTACATGAGCCCTAAGAGAGGCACTAAACATAGAAAGGAAAAACCAGTACCAGCTGCTCCAAAAGCATACAAAATGGTAAAGATGATAGACTCAATCAAGAAACTGTTGGGCAAACATTTGTCAACTATTGGGCAAAACAACCAGCTAGCATCAAAATGGCAGGATCAAATTTGCACATTACAATATTAACCTTAAATATAAATGGGCTAAATACCCCAATCAAAAGACACAGACTGGCAAATTGGATAAAAGTCAAAACCCATTGTGCACTGTATCCAGGAAACCCATTTCACATGCAAAGACACACATAGACTCAAAATAAAGGGATGGAGGAAGATTTACCAAGCAAATTGAGAGCAAAAAAAAAAAAGCAGGAGTTGCAATCCTAGTCTCTGATAAAATAGGCTTTTAACCAACAAAAAAATCAAAAGAGACAAAGAAGGGCATTAAAGACTCACCATGGATCTCTCGGCAGAAACTCTACAAGCCAGAAGAGAGTGGGGCCAATATTCAACATCCTTAAAGAAAAGAACTTTCAACCTAGCATTTCATACCCAGCCAAACTAAGCTTCATAAGTGAAGGAGAAATAAAATCCTTTTTATTTTTTATCCTTAGTAAAAGGATCAATGCAACAAGAAGAGCTAACTGTCTTAAATATGTATGCACCCAATACAAGAACACCTAGATACATAAAGCAAGTTCTTAATGACCTACAAAGAGACTTAGACTGCCACACAATAATAGTGGGAGACTTTAACACTCCACTATTAATATTAGACAGATCAACAAGACAGAAAACTAACAAGGACATCCAGGACTCAAACTCAGGTTGGGACCAGGCAAACCTAATAGGCAAACCTAACAGCCAATATCATATTGAATGGGCAAAAACTGGAAGCATTCCCTTTGAAATCAGGCACTAGACAAGGATGTCTTCTCTCACTACTCCTGTTCTATATAGTATTAGAAGTTCTAGCCAGAGCAATCAGGCAAGAAAAAGAAATAAAAGGTATTCAATTAGGAAAGGAGGAAGTCAAATTGTCTCTATTTGCAGATGACATGATTGTGTATTTAGAAGACCCCCATCATCTCAGAATCTCCTGAAACTTATAAGCAACTTCAGCAAAGTCTCAGGATACGAAATCAATGTGCAGAAATCACAAACATTCCTATACACCAATAACAGACTAAAAGAGAGCCAAATCAAGAGCAAACTGCCATTCACAATTGCTACAAAGAGAATAAAATACCTAGGAATACAACTAACAAAGGATGTAAAGAACCCCTTCTAGCAGAACTACAAACCACTGCTTAAGGAAATAAGAGAGGACATAAACAGATGGAATAACATTCCATGCTCATGGTTAGGAAGAATAAATATTGTAAAAATGGCTCTACTGCCCAAAGTAATTTATAGGTTCAACACTATCCCCATCAAGCTACCTATGACCCTCTTCACAGAACTGGAAAAAACCACCTTAAACCTCATATGGAACTAAAGGAGAGCCTGCATAGCCAAGGCAATCCTAAGCAAAAAGAACAAAGCTGGAGGCATCATGCTACCTGACTTCAAATTATACTACAAGGCTACAGTAATCAAAACAGCATGGTACTGTTATCAAACAGATATAATCAATAGAACAGAGGCCTCAGAGGCAACACCACACATCTACAACCATCTGATCTTTGACAAACCTGACATAAACACGCAATGGGGAAAGGATTCCCTGTTTAATAAATGGTGTTGAGATAACTGGCTAGCCATGTGCAGAAAGCAGAAACTGGACCCCTTCCTGACACCTTACACTAAAATTAACTCCAGGTGGATTAAAGACTTAAACATAAGACCTAACACCATGAAAACCATAGAAGAAAACCTAGGCAAAACCATTCAGAACATAGGCATGGGTAAGGACTTCATGACTAGAACACCAAAAGCATTGGCAACAAAAGCCAAAATAGACAAATGGGATCTAATTAAACTCCAGAGCTTTCTTTTGCTATATGGAAGTGAACTGGCAACTAACAGAACAGGAAAAACTTTTTGCAATCTATTCATCTGACATAGGGCTAATATCCAGAATCTACAAAGAACTAAAACAGATTTACAAGAACAAACAAACAAACCCATTCAAAAGTGGGCAAAGGATATGAACAGACACTTTTCAAAAGAAGACATGTATGAAGCCAACAATCATGAAAAAATGTTCATCACTGGTTATTAGAGAAATATATATCAAAACCACATTGAGATACCATATTGTACCAGTTAGAATGGCAATTATTAAAAAATCTGGAGAGAACAGATGCTGCAGAGGATGCGGAGAAATAGGAACACTTTTACACGTTTCTGGGAGTGTAAATTAGTTCAACCATTGTGGAAGACAGTGTGGTGATTCCTCAAAGACCTAGAAATAGAAATTCCATTTGACCCAGCAATCCCATTACTGGGTATATATCCAAAGGATTATAAATCATTCTATTATAAAGACCCATGCACATGTATGTTTACTGTGGCACTGTTTACAATAGCAAAGACCTGGAACCAACCCCAATGCCCATCAATGATAGACTGGACTAGGAAAATGTGGCATATATATACCACAGAATACTATGCAGCCATAAAAACAATGATTTCATGTCCTTTGTAGGGACACAGATGAATCTGAAAATCATCATTTTCAGCAAACTGACACAAGAACAGAAAATCAAACACTGCATATTCTCAGTCATAGGCGAATGTTGAACATGGACACAGAGAGGGGAGCATCACACACTAGGGTCTGTTGTGGGGGACTAGGGGAGGGACAGAGCGGGGCAGGAATGTTGGGGAGGGATAACATGGGGAAAAATGCCAGATATAGGTGATGGGGGGTTGGAGGCAGCAAACCACATTGCCATGTAGGTACCTGTGCAATAGTCCTGCATGATCTGCACAGGTACCCCAGAACCTAAAGTACAATTATATATATAAACCCCATCTATGCCATCATCTTCCCAGAATCTGCTCTCTCCTTCTAATGTCCCCTGATAATAAGGGGAAGGTCAAGCATGGCCTGCCTTTGCACAGTAGTTAAGTTGAACATCTTTCTTCCACAGCATTATGCTACAATCTTCCTAAAAATCTCCAGGGTCTGTGTCCTTTCCTCAGGATCAATTCCAAAGTCTATAACATAGTTATGAACATTGAACTTCTGCTGGTTCTCTCCTTTTTCAGCAATAGTGTCTATTCTATTCTTACACAAACCATTTGCTATAGGCTCTCACATATACTCACTATTCTACAAACACAAGGTCTTTCTTACTTGTGTGCCTTTGCCAGAGCAGTTTTCCAAATGGAATGCTCTCCTACTTTTTCCACTCTCATTTTACTTGACTCAAAACCTTTTCTACAAATTTTTCCTTGAGCGATGTGGTCAGAAAGAATAACTAATTTTGATACAAAGCAGTCTAGTAATTAAAAGCACAGTTTTTGTCTCTGGGCTTAAATCTCAGCTCAGATGTTACACACATGTGTGACCTGGGATAAATCCTCATCTACAAATGGCAATTGGAATGCCACCTTACTCATCAGTTATTTTTGAGGGTTTTTGAGACAATCCATGCGAAAGATGTAGTACTTTCCTGGCATGTATAAGTGCTCAGTAACTGGGAGCCACTGTTAATGTCTTTGTCATCCACTAAATTATGTCTTAGAGGGTACAGAACCTCTTCTTCCAAAACTATATTATTCTCAGGGGCTAGAATATTCTTTTGCCTATATTAAAATAATATCAAAAATATTTGTTGATATTCTTTTTAACCATGTGAAGAGGAAAGACTCATGTTAAGTATGGGTAGAAGGCAATTTAGCTGAGAAAAGAGGCAAGAGGTAACTTATAGTTTAGAAGAGAAAAAAAAAAGCATGGCTATTGGACTAATTCAGAACCATGTTCAAATCCTAGCTAGAGCGCCTATAACCTGGACAATATGTGCCTAGTAGAGAATTAAGAACCCAGGCTCTAGAGCTTGTCTTCCTGGGTTGAATCTAGGCAATAACTATGAGATCTTATGAACCATGAGATCTTAGGCAATTTATTTCACTATTATGAGCCTCAGTTCCCTTCTCTTTAAAATGAAGATAATCATGGCACCTACCTCATGAGGGTGTCATGGGGATTCCAGAAGTTCATGTATGTAAAGTATTTAGAACAGTGACTAAATAGGTGTTTGTGTTATTATTACAGTGCTGATTTTTCTTTCCCATGGAGCTATGATGCTGTATCTGTGAATGAGTTATACTAACAAAAGCATAAGTAAATGGTGATTGAAGTTCTTTTGTTTTGAGACGGAGTTTCGCTCTTGTTACCCAGGCTGGAGTGCAATGGCACGATCTCGGCTCACTGCAACCTCCGCCTCCTGGGTTCAGGCAATTCTCCTGCCTCAGCCTCCCGAGTAGCTAGGACTACAGGGAGGCTGAGGCAGGAGCCTCAGCACCACCATGCCTGGCTAATTTTTTTTGTATATTTAGTAGAGATGGGGTTTCACCATGTTGACCAGGATGGTCTCGATCTCTTGACCTCGTGATCCACCCAACTTGGCCTCCCAAGATTGAAGTTCTTATACTTATTTTCTGTATTCATGGGTGTCATGTCAAGTAAGAGTGGGACCTATTTTAATTTTCATTGTTTTTATTAAAATAGGAATAAAAATTATTGTCTGGGCAGAGTTTTGAGATTATTATGCAGAGTAAGACAACCACAATAGACATTGATAGTGTCAAACATTTTGGTATGGGTTCTGGACTTGGTTATTTTAAATTCTGGTCCTTTGAAAAGTCAGCTGACTGACTGCAGGTGAGGAATCTCACGAAGATATTTTACCAGATCAATCAGTTCTTTCATATTTACCTTGAAGAAGGAAGCAAACTTTGTATTGCCGTGATAAACAGAAGAACGATAAATGCACAGACCAAGTTTGACTTGAATACTTCATCCCTCATTTGAGAATACTGTAATTAAAAAAAAAGAGAGAATGAGTTACTTTGCAGCAGAGTTGGGTTTTGGAAGAATTAGGTTTTAGCAGTGTTTGAGCTTGAGGGAAACATCAAGAAGAAACAAGGCAATTAGATTTTTTTTTTTTTAAATAACAACAATTCATATCTTAATAAAACCTTCACAGAACATTATCCCATGCCTCCTGCCAACTTTCCAGTGAGAGCCCAGGAATAAATACAATGAGAGGGAGACTTTGCATGAACTTATCCAGTTCTTCCCCTCCCTCTGAACTAACATTATTTTAACAGGACAGAAGAGCACACATCCATATATGCAGCAAATCAAATTCGCATTGACTTTCTTCATGAGTAAACTTAAGTCATTTAAGGATCTTGCTCTGTTTCGTGTTAAGTTTGGGAACACAGGGAAATGGTTTACCAGGAAGTCTCTCTGCCTCTTTTTTTTAAACTAAAAATAAATTCTCAGGCTCTTAAAATAGAAAATAGCCAAAGAGATCTCCAGCTAGTATAGCCCTTTCATTTCACGGAAGGGGAAGCCAAGACTAATAGACCAATATGCTTGATGCCCTTCTGTGTCTGCTCAAGGCAGCCCTAGGGAATGGTGGTAACTTTATTTTGATTATCCAGAGTACTCAGTAATTTCATTGTCTAGCTTTAAAAGCGTCTAGAAGGTCAGCACTCAATGTGTATTTGCCTTACTTCTGCCTAGTCTCTTGGACCATCCTGGAGTTACTAAGCTGGAGAATATCTACTTCTTTCAGAAAGCAGGACAGTTTTTAAAACATTTTCAGTTTTAGAGCCTTTGAATTAGCCTGAACCAAACCCCAGATTTGACCTTGAAGACAGAGAGGTTTAGTAGCAGGCAGGTTATTTTATTTTCGGTAGACAGAAAGCGAAGGCTCACTTTGGATCTTTGTAACCGCTGATTTGCATTTCGTGGTTACTTCATACAGAAAGCTGGCAAATAGAGGCCCCACAACATCTTATGCTCTAGGTCCACAATACTAAGGTAGGGCTTCAGTCAGGTCAAGAAATAATACAATCAGTCCAATCTGTTGTTGGTATGGTGTTTGAAATCAAGAGTTACGTGATTTTTTTTTTTTGAGACGGAGTTTTGCTCTTGTTACCCAGGCTGGAGTGCAATGGCGCGATCTTGGCTCACGCAACCTCCGCCTCCCGGGTTCAGGCAATTCTCCTGCCTCAGCTTCCTGTGTAGCTGGGATTACAGGCACGCGCCACCATGCCCAGCTATTTTTTTTTTTTTTGTATTTTTAGTAAAGATGGGGTTTCACCATGTTGACCAGGATGGTCTCGATCTCTTGACCTCGTGATCCACCTGCCTCGGCCTCCCAAAGTGCTGGGATTACAGGCTTGAGCCACCGTGCCCGGCCGAGTTACATGATTTTCATTCTCTTCTGACTTCTTGGTGTGATCTGGGGTTTAGACTGAACCCTGCTTCTCAGTGTCATAGCTAAGGTTTGGAGAATATCCTATAGTGGGCGAGCTCTCGAGGTGAAGCTCAGTGCTGCTCAGAGACTGCATATTTGTTGCTTTTGCAGGGCAATGCTTTTTCTACTCTTCAGTATTGAGGCCTCTGTCCATTTGCTGACAACCTGCTTGTTATCTGGAGGGGAACCAGGAACATGGCTCTGAAGAATCACTCGAGGCCATCCTCAATCCTGATAAAACCAGAGAAAACCCATATGATTAATAGTTACTAATAGTGCTACCCAAGAACAGATCACAATCATAGAGGCCTACACAAAGCATCTGGCAAATGAATTAGCCACAAAGCAGTTAATTCAAAGAAAGATAAATGTCTGAATTCCATCTAACAACCAATTACAGAGGATCTAATTATTCTTTGTTGGCTGATTAATTTTAAACCAGCCTGGTTGCATAGATTTGATAATGAAATTTTAAAAACAGCAATAATAATTTCAGTGTAGTTAATCAGTACACTCAAATTCCTCCTTTTCTTCTTTTATGTCATCCGTCATCATCATCATCACCACCTGTCATCATCACTACCATCATCACAGCATCTTGGAGCTGTGATTGAACATTGCCTTCCAAATTCAGAAATCCTTCTCATAACATTCTTGATGTCCACTCAAATGTCTGTTAATTTCATCTGATGACCTTCTCTGCTTTATCTGGGAAAGTGAGTTTCTTTTCTCTGATCCTGAGCAGGGCATCTCAGGGTTCTAAGCACCGTCAACTTGAACACTCTGAGAGCCTGACCCTGAGAGTTCATTCCTTTGCGAAGGATTCCTTTCCATTATTGTCCCTTGATCCTATGAAAAGATCCTTTCTTATAGATCCCAAGCATAAGTCTCTGTGACTCTTTTCATGAATATTTTTTACTGATGACTTAAAAAATGTGATGTAATCATCATTTGTCCAGACTAAGGTTGCATAAGATACTGTTTTCCAGTTTCTTCAGATGGCACATTGGGTGGAAACAAAGTATAAAGACTCACTTTGCTTTTATATTTGTCACTGTTTTATTGTGAGCAAAGCTAATTTCTTTGAACCTCACTTTTCTTATCTGTCAAATGGGAACATTAATATAGTTCATAAGTTTGACAATGCTGAAGCATTCTATTATTTTTCTGTTTGAAGTAGCATAGCATAGCTGTATGGAAGAAGAATCTTATAATACTTGTGAAGTTGATGTCCACCAAATATAAAATCCTGTGTTTCAGAATGTGGCGCATTGTTACTTTGGAAATATAAGGAGAGCAGGATTTCAACAAGAAAATTCCTAATTGGCTTAGAATGATTGAGTAGGGATTCATTTCACTTCCTCTTGACTGGTAATAGTCTGAACACTCTAGCTCATAGCTTTATTAAGTTAGCAGTGTGCTTATCAAAGTTAGACACTCCTCATGTCATACCTGTTCTGTTCTCACCTGGCCCCCCTTATCCTTTTATATCTCAGGTGTGAGCATGAACTAATCAAGAGCTAGATTAACCAGATTTGGATCCCAGCTCTAACACCTATGCATCCTTGGACAACATCATTAAGTTTTCTATGTCTCAGTTTTCTTATCTAGAAAATGGATATAATAATAGGAATTATCTAAGTGTTACTGGGAAGATGAAATGAGGTAATATATACAAAGTGCTTAGAACGGTGCCTTGCACATGATAACGCTATATAAATGTTTCCTACTGTCAACCAATTAATTGTACTTATGTCATTTCCATACTTCATCTATGTGAAGCTTGCCTTGCAGAATATTGTCTTCTATTCCTCCGTACAGGATTGTACCTTGCACTAAGTGGTGACCCCAATGTTGTTGACTGGTTGGTCCACCATGTTTTAAAGGAGTCTTCTAAAGAAATGGTAATCTCATGTGTGGTGTTTTGACTTGGGAGAAGACCCTGCCCTCATTCTTCCCCTTGCTTCTTGAAAGATTACCCACCACTGGGTAGAATTCTTATGTTTTCTGTGATCCTTAGAAAAAGTGTTCTTGGAAATGACCTGTGAACTCTTATAATTTACTGAGCCCTTTATCTACAGGAGAACTTGGCAATCACACACACACGCACATGCATGCACACACACGCATTTCATATAAGAAGATAAGATATATATGTTTCAGATAAGAAGCATGAGGATCAGATATGTAAAAGAGCTTGTCAGTTGTTGGTGGCAAAATTCAGACACTTGGAACAAATTACAAATACTTCCTTGGAGATCTTAGATTAGAATTTGGAATATTATTATTTCTCAGCATGTAGGGTCTTGGTTGATTCAGAAAAAGGTAGAAAATCTAGAGTAAGAAATTTGAATAATAAGGACTAATACCTAGTTCAAGGCTGGTGCTGTGCTACACACTTTACATGGATGTTTTCATTTAATTATTATGACACTTGAGGAAGGTCTTGTTTATCATATCCTCATTTTGCAGATAAATAAACTGAGGATTCGAATAACTGAGCAACTCAACAACACCTTCACAGATTGTACATAGAGAATTCAGAGAGTTTGTTCTAGAGTGCAGGGTCTCACTGGCTGCTCTACCTTGCTATTTTCAGAGTAAGGTGATCTTGTTCATAGGTTCATGATCAGGTTTCTTTGGTATATTTCAGTGATGTAATTTGATCATGATCATGATACAAAGAAAGGGAATGTGTTAAAAATTTGGGTCTATGTAAATCTTGGTTAGAATGAAAGTGAAACATACAGGTAAAGAATGTACATTAGAAACAGCCTACGAATTAGTTTAATAAAATGCCACTACTATATTTTCTTAATTGATGAATGAACCCTCCACATTGGAGGATTGATGAATGGATCCAGCACAATGCAATGCAAAATAATGAGTCCCCTTTTTAGGCCAGGATGGGTGAACTGACAATAGGGAAGAAAATAAAAGACAGTAGAGTTTATTTAAATGCAACAGAAGAAGACAGACTACAATCTTCAAATGATAAGGACATCGTTTCAAAAATGAAAATTTCTGTGTGGTTTGATTGAAGTTGAGACTTGTTACTTCCAAGGAAGGGGAGAAGGATAAACTTGTGTTTCATTTTGTTCATGTCTGGGGATTCTGGCCGTGAATTCTCTTGAAAGACATATTCAGAAATGAAATCAGAGTCATGAGGGTCAATGGGTTTTTTTATATTTGCCACAAGAAAGCTGGGAAACCCAAGTCCAATCACATGCAAAAAAAAAAAAAAAAAATCCATTTCAGATTCCTTATCCACAGAGAGGTGATCAGGGAAATTTGCTTACAGATATGATAAAGCTTCTAGTCTTCCATATTTTCATGCCTGGGATAGTCCTAAAAACTCTGCCTAGGTGAGGGGGAGGAAATCACAGTGATTTCCTAGATGCTCTATGTTGACTATAAGCTAAAAGGCACTGAAAAATTCTTACATTTCTACAGGATGTAGAAGATGCCTCTAACTAAAACAATTATCTGGTTAATTGTCTAAACTGTAACTGTACTCTGTCTTTTTACCCAAGATTATATAATGGG